CCACCACTTACCACCACTTTGGGGAAATGACTTAACATTGCTGTGTCTCAGTTTTCTCAGCTGTAAAGTGAGGCTAATAATAATACTTCAGAGGGTTAGTGTAGGAACTGATTAAGAAATGTGTGTGAGCACTGGGCATGTGCCTGGAACATAGTGGGTGCTCTAAACAACAGAGAATGAAGGCTCCCGTCTAGTCGTACTTGGGCTATAGGAGATGTGAAAAGAAGAGGACAAAAAAGAGAGATAATAAAGGAATTGGCACACAATGGAAACAAAAAATGTGTTGTTGAGCGAATGAACTGCCCCGTGTGGAGGGACTACCGTGTGCCAGGTGGGGCCCAGTGCCCCTCATTCATGATCATTTCCACCCAGTAACAACTACCCATTCTCAGGGGCTGCCTACTCAGTGCCAGGCTGTGCATTAGTCCTAATCCTCACAGCAACCCCAGAGGTGGGTGTTTTTATACCCATTGTACAGAGGGCACTGAGGCTAAGAGAGGAGAGTTGCGTGTCCAAGTTCCCTTGGCTTGTCAATGGGAGAGTTAGGCTCCTCACTAGATCCCGCTGTGTTAAAAGTGGACTCCAACAGAGACACATCGGCCTTGAGATATGCCTAAGCAATCCTATTTCCTTCCTTTTATAGGATAAACAAATTATGGAGCCAAGTTGGATGGGTCCCGGGGGAACAGTTTCACCTTTCCAGTGGAGATTGCTGAATGAAGTTTGGAGGTCAGACATCAGAGGATCCTGCCTGCCTGCCGTCTCTGACTTGGCCTGAGCTTAGGGGAAAAGGAGCCTGCTGTCCATCATGATGAGAAGTAGGAGGCAAGACACTTGGCGACACTTGGCGACATGACGGGTGATGTCAGGTGAATGACCCCAGGAGGGCTTGCATGGCCTGTGGTGAAAGGAAGGCCTCTCACAGACGTGGTGGACCAGTTGGCCTCACAAAGAAAAACCACAGGGCAGTTAATGAAGTGTTTCCTCAGCCACCACCTCGGGGCGCTTGTAACAGCCCAGGGGGGGAAGATGGACTAGTAGGTGAGGAGGGTCGATGCTCCTCAACAGGAAAGGACATTTCGGACTCTCCAGCCTCTGTGATCACGAGAGCCACTTTCTTACGACAAACCTCCTACTAGTAGGTGAGGAGGGTCGATGCTCCTCGAACAGGAAGGGACATTTCGGACTCTCCAGCCTCTGTGATCACGAGAGCCACTTTCTTACGACAAACCTCCTTCTGTATATAGACACGTCCTGTTGGCTCTGTCCCTCTGGAGAGCCCTGGCTAATACAACACCCACGCCTGTTTGTTTACGTCTGTGTCTACAGTTGTTTTCTTGCTGCAAAATCATAATTAATTATTGAAACAGGGACTGTACAGCCCAGAAAGCCAAAAATATTTACTATCTGTCTTTTACAGAAAAGGTTTGCTGACCCCTGCCCTCATTCATTTTATAGCCATTTTATGATTCTAATGATTTTAATAGTTTCTAAGCTGATTTTCTTAGGTCTTCAGGCACGTGAACATATTATCCAACAACAAAACATTCCCTGTGCCTTGTCAGTATATGTCCCTCTTCCCAGGAGGTCAGGGGGGGTTAAATGGCAGGAGAAGCAGCAAGCAGCTTGCCCCCGCCCCCCACCCAGAGTCCAGAGCCCTTTCTGGTGTCCCCTGCTGTTCTCCAGACAAGTACTGAGAGGACCTGGGGACCTCACCTTGGGATTTTCCTTTTCCTTAGGAGGGAAGGAAATCTCTTCCACAAACCTCAGTCTTCTCATCTATGAACAGGGCGTATCACCTTCCTGCCGTGTCCTCGCCAGGACTGCCTGAGACGCCATCATTTGAAGGGCCAGCCAGGGCCCAGAGTTCTTGGAAAGGGAAGGGTCCTCTTGCCCTCTTATCTACTCACGATACTTCTACATCGTAGTCAGCTGAGGGCTCGGAGGAGCCGCAAGCATTTTTATTTAAAAAGCCAGCACAGAATAATAATGGCTTGATTTAACATCGCAATTATCTCTCCGAGCACTTTATCGCATATGATTATCCCTATTTGATAGAAGAGGAAATGGGAAAAGGTAGAAATGAAGTCACTTGTTGAAGGTCACATCATGAGTCAGGACAGAAATGGAGACAGAACTCGGGCCTCCCACATCCGAGCCGTGACTCCCACGGAGGAAATGTCATTGTCTCAATGACCCTGCAGTGGCAGCCATCCTAACAGACACCGAGAATAGTGCCAGTGCTCTGTACAGGCCCTGTGCACTCCAGGGGCCTCCTGTGGACCCTCCAGAGCAGAGCATGTTACTACAGGCTCAGGGTCCAAGTGGGGAAAGTGAGGACCAAATGAGGAGGTGCCCCCACAGTCCCAGGGCACGTGTGTGGCAGAGCTGGATTCTCTCAGTCCATAGCATCCCCCACATAGGGCGCAGCTAAGTGTGGGGGTGGGGGGAGCTGCAAGCTCTTTGCCGTGCATTTTATCTCAAGTACTTTGTTTTCAGTGGGATGGGTCTACAAGCCCCATTTTCTAGATGGGGAAAACAGAGTCCCAGAGAGGGGAAATGATTGGGCCAAGGGCAAGAAGCAAGGACATAGCAGAACCGGGCTTAAAAGTCAACCTGCTGACTGCATTCCACAAGCCATTAGGTATGCGCTAAATGTCCTTCAGATTGCTCTCCAAACTCTCACATTCCTGAAGATGAAACTGTTTCAGGAGCTTTTATTCCACTCGAAAACATAAAGATCATCTTTGCGGATCTCCAGTGGGCTGGAAAAGGGAGACCCTGAAACTGGAGAGGAACTGGAGAGTCAGTGCCCGTGTTAGGCTTTTGGGTCATTGACAAAGGATGGATTGTCAATTTGTGGGAAAGCGCTCAGGTTCAGAACAAAGTGAACTCACCCAGCAAAGGTCAAAGCACAGAACACAGATGACAGTCCCATGCTGAGATCGGCCACACTTGCTGCGCCGAGACCAGAGTGAAAGACAGCCCTGCAGGTGATGGCAGCGGCCATGGTGGGATGCTTAACTGCATTTTTAAAAGAATGTTTTCAAGAGCAGGATTTGTATAGAACGCCCACCCTTTTTGTTATTTGGTTCAATTAAGGGAGGGGGAGAAAGGCAAAAGGACGGCAACCCAGAGAGCTATGGAGATGAAGAGACACTGAAAGACAGCGACAGAGAGAGACAGAGACAGAGACCCAGAGGGAAGGAGATGGGCCAAAAGAGCAGCGGAGATGGGACTTGCACTCACAGAGGAAGAGATAAAGATGCAGAGAAAAGCAGAGAGAGAGATGGTGGAGCATGTGGGAAAAGAAAATAAAGATGAAACACAGAGATGGGGGGAGACCACGAGTAAGGATTAGAGGGAGCAAGTGGAAGGAGGAGGAGGAGGAGCATGCACAAAATAAGGCAGAGGAGGCAGGAGAGGAAGTAGGTTTTGATTGGGGAGGCTGACCTATGTCAATCACAAACACCAATTCTCTCCTCCTGCTCCTCTCTGAATCTGCCCTTTGTTCCTAGTGACCAGTGGGAAAGAGACCCAGCCACATTAATAACTGCTCAGTAAACCCTTGTCAAGTTAAATTGAATTATCCAGGAATAGGACAGGGGCCAAATGGCAGTTGCAGCCATTGCGTGGGCAAATCGCCCCCTGGTGAATATGTCTGCAGCATGTGGCCAACTACTCTGGCCAGTGGAATGAACTGGATGGACCCAGGGAGGAGCCTCCTGAGCCAAGCAGTGTGCCTTGTGGACCTGGGCATTCACCTTCCTGCCAGGAGCATCAGTCTGGATCCAGACTGGGAGAAACTGATGAAGCCCAGCCTCAAAGGGACCTCGCTCCACCTCGAAGGTCTGATCCCGGGCTCACCTGGTGTCCCCAGCTGATGTTGACTACCTGCCACAGGGGCCAGCTCTGTCTCAGTGAAATCGTTTTATCACTTTGTCAGACCCCGTGGGATTAGCCGACATTTACGGGGGCTCACCTGGTGTCCCCAGCTGATGTTGACTACCTGCCACAGGGGCCAGCACTGTCTCAGTGAAATCGTTTTATCACTTTGTCAGACCCCGTGGGATTAGCCGACATTTACGGGCTGAGATGAATGAGAAGGGGGAGAGAAACCAGCCAGCTGACCACACTTTCTCAGACACGCACTGAAATCAAGCCAGCAACTATCGATCCCTCTCAGAATGATGGAAGAGATCTAATAGATACAACAATTGTGCAAGAATGACCTGAGGAGGTGGGCAGTGGGAGGGGGAGTTAGGAAGGCTCGATCAAGACCCCGAGGCAGCAGGTGAAGAATTAAGTCTGCTGTTGGGTGGGGAGGGCAGAGGAGTTCCAGCCCCACAAGCAAAAGTATTAGATGTTAAATCACATCTCCTGGGCATAGCACACAGCACAATGGAGTGGGATAATCAAGAATATTATAATAGATGGAGGGGAGGTCCAACTCTGCTGCTTTGAAATGGTGACAACGTGAGCAGTCACACTAGCATTTACTGAGTACCTACTAAATGCCAGGCATATTACAGTACCCCACTGGAGCCTTACAATAACCTTATAGGGTGACTATTAATATCATCCTCATTATACAGATGAGGAAATTAAGACTCAGAGAGAGGCAGCTACTGTCCCAAAGTCACACGGCAAATGAGTGTTGGGATCTGGGATTTGAACCCAGCACTCTCATGTGTTGTGAGATACACGTTTTGATGATATATGGAAAAATCCTGGCTCAAGAACCCTAACACCCTTTTATGTGTTCTAAGGTGATTGTAAATTTCTCAAACAGCCCCAAAGCTGGTCCGTTTGCCTGCTCAGTGAAATCGTGCTGGGTTCTGCCACAGAGCCTCAGGAACCACTGCGACATCCCACTCCCAGCTGCCAGTGGAGACACAGGATTCGCCTGCCACCCATCACACCTCTAGCTCAACTGGGGCAAAGCAGTGGGCTGGAGATCCGTCAGTAAACGCAAACCTCCCCCAGGCAGCATAACTCACCCGGCTTGGGCTGCTGAAACAGCTTCCCCCATGCAGATCTCAAAGCCTGGAGATAAATGACCTGCAAAAATAGAACGAAAGGCAAGGTGGGGTGTGACTTGGGGAGGAGGGTGGAGAAGGTGAGGGGAATAGGGAAGGAAGGTGTGCAGAGGGGTGGGGGGCGAGGTGAGGCCCCGGGGTAAGAATGGAACAGAAGAACACGGACATTCTGAGACGTTTCACAACAGATCTTGAGTGGAATGCCTGTCAAATTAGAGACAAGCCTTGTATATTTTACCAACG